AGCTCTATTCACAGCTTCAAGAATAAGCTCGCAGTTGAAACCTGAACTACTCTAGGCATCCTAGGAGCGGTGCTGAAATGTGGAGAAAAAGTTCTGCATAGTGCAACAACATTCGTTCACTAATCTGGAAGGCGAAAACTTTCCCATTCCGATGCAGTCGTTTAAAACCTAAACAGACTCTTATTTGATCGAGAATGAAGACAAAACTACTTGGACTGGGTTGCGGTGAGCTGCGTTCATAATTCTCGTCTGCATTTGAGCGTTTCGGGCGAAAGGAACGTTAGCTATCGACCTAGGGTTTTGAAACTTATCAGCGGAATGCTAGCGTTTTGAGCGAAAAGTATAGTGTATAGTGTAGTTCGCTGCGGACGGTTGGGCGTGTCAGGCGGGATGAGTTTGGCGCGGTGCCAAACCCGTTCTCCACCAGTTGTTAAAGCGAGCAAGTGATATGACTGTATCATATCGTTCGTATTACTCGTTTTCTACCACTTTTTGTCGCATGCGCGCTTCAACAAGAAGGCAGAGAACGGCTCTGACAGCGGTGCACACTCATACTGCCTGACACGCCCAACCGTCCGCAGCGAACCAAGTATAGGTGTCGATGCCAGATCGATATCTACACTATTCTTCTCGCCCAAAACGTTCAAAAAATGCTCGATGCTATAGCAACCACAACACATGTCCATGCAATAAAGAATAAAAGAATTTCGACGCTGTTGTCGTGAGATGATGTGTTTGGTGTGCACCCAGATTTATTTACGGCTCCTTTGGGGGTACGGTGTATGGTTGTTCGCCTACTGAAGTTACCGTACTGTCCAGTTTCGCATAGGGGAAGCAGCAAGGTAAAGGCACGAAGGCGCTAAGTTGCACCAGTGACACCACCCTTTTTTCCAGTGACCCCGCCTCCAGACTACACCTTTAGTACTTGTCTTATGGTTAGAACGCAGTGTTTTCCGCCTTATACTCGACCAACTGATGGAGGCCAGAGAGGTCCTATCAGAGACATTTTCGTGCTTCCCTTATGCATGTTCTCCTCATGGACCAGTTCCTTTACTAAGTTCTCTTTCCATATTCAGTGCCCGCAACCAAACGCTCTTTAATTGTGCGGCCTCTGACGAGCATGCATAAAAGCAGACAAATTACTATCACACAGTTTTATGCCCACATTACTACATTACATGGTGCAGTGTGAACTGAGCAAAGTAAGTGCGCTCATTTAGAATTTGAAACGGAGATTTGCTTGTTTTTGCTATGATTTTCATCTTTTTCTTCACACTTGTGCTCACTTCTGAAATGTGTGGGTTTTAGTAAAATGACAGGAAGTTCAGGTTTTTGTGGCATTTTACCTTCCGTTCAACGACCAGGGTGAGGCCAGTGAATATCTCCAACCACGGTTTTATCTGAAAATCTGAATGGACGAACAAGTATTGCGCAAAGCATTGACATAGAGGCAACAGACATGGGCCATATCTTCTCGTTTATCCGGATCAGTCTGCCACATCTTGTCCTTCACATAATGCGCAAGTTTTTCTGGTGTCCCTTCGGGGAAGTCGTTTAGTGTTCCACCCAGAATCTGCGAGATCATCGATCTTATAATATGCACGAAAAGCACTTCTTTATGTACGTACCGCATCTTTTGCAGCATTTGTCGACAGTTTGGCGTACGGTTCAATACAGGCAAACACTTCGTAGATGAACACCTGGATTTTTAACTTTGCTCACATGTGTAAGGATCACAAATGGGACAAAATAAGTGAATCTACATTTGAGGCGGAGGTGGTTCAGTGGCGCGCTTATCACTCGCGCGGTGCTGGGTTCAGATTCCTTCGACTCCCGCCAAGCCTACTAGCCCCCGGGGACGGTAAATTGGTACCAGATTCGTCTGGGAGGATAAAACACTGACTTGTACATCGGCTGGCCCCGCAAGTCATTGTATAGGCCACATCGCATTCAATAAGCCACTACGATTCTGAATGGAAGTAGAATGCGTGCCGCATCCCACAAAGGGATTGATCAACGGCGAAGACTTTATCCTTTCACCCTTTTTTAACCCCTACATCACTTATCACTTTGAACTATGCAAATGGAGGGAAGTCACGATTTCGCAGTCAATCACACGCACGCACACACGCACGCACGCACGCACGCACGCACGCACGCCAAGCCGACTATTTGTCGGAATATCCGTTACAGCAAAACCGCTACAGTACACCCCTGCAATTGCAGACCATCTCTTGAAGAACATCCTTCATTACTTACGCCGTAATTGTAGACGTCTGATTTTTGCGTGAACATGAACGTCCTAATGCTCTCTGGAGCCAACCACTTTATGGGCATTTTTCTTGCAGTTTTCATTGCATACGTCGTGCCTTGACGAGAGAGCGAAAACTCACTCAACCTGACCTTAAACGAGAAGTTCCCTTCAATGCAAAGATTTAAAGTCACAAATGATGTACAAGGACTGAATCAAGCTAAACTTACAACTTTAGAAGTATCGTAATGGCAATTCTTTGCCGAGATATCACGATGAAGAACTGACATGGAGTGTAAATATTCTAAACCCCATGCGATTCCCATTATAATCTGCAGCTTTTCATCTTTGTCAATAGTTGACTTGTTTTCAAGAAGATAGACGTCAAGAGGTTGCCCTGAATTGCGAACTAGTCACAATAAGTCCCAATATTGTTACAGGTACACCAGGTGCGAAGGAATGGTTTCGGAAAGATAGAGTACAACAATGCCATATATGGATGTGCAGGGAATGATGATCACTCCTGCTTTTCGGGACAACCTGTACACTCTCCTCCGCGAGGAGTCCTTTCCGTGTGCGAACAGCACTGACGTGTCACTTTCTCCGCTGATTGAGTGGACGCAGACAAGGAGAGCATTTGCTTAGAAGAAGTTTGGCACTCCAAATGACAGCAAGGCGGATATAGAGGCCACACCCGGCATCACTACTTGAGCCGTTACCTGCACTATCGGCCGACACATACTGCACAGAAGCGGATCCTTCCCTCACATATGATAAGAACAACCTTCCACGGAGGGGAGTGTACAGGGTATGTGGCAAGAGAATCGTAATCTGCCTCAAAAGTGGGCGTCGCGTGCAACGTCCCCCAGCTAATGACGACAATTCTAGTGGTATTGGTCGGGAAAAGACAATTGCATGGACCATAGTAGGCATAATGTCTACATGAAAATCCGATGCTCAAAAATCGGAAGGGCACTGCAACTTGACGTTTGATTCTCTTGCCCGCCTTCCGAGTGTACAGTTTCGGTTCGATCCGGAAACGTAATTCGAGAAAAATGAAATGATAGGCGAATGCACGGGACATAGTGCTATGGAAGAGGGCGCCCTAGTTCGTCAGGAAGCCACGTCAGTACAACTCGCCACTGCAGTGTCTAGAGTGGAACGCTGGCAAGGCGACATTTCTATTAGGCTGCTTCATACTTTGCGACAGCGTCCACCAGCGACCATCAGCGTTTCAAACGTCTGTCAGCGTCAGCAACTAGGAAAGTGTAGATATCGTTCCAGCGAACGGCAGCGTCTACCAGCGTCCACCAGCGACCAGGTGTAGAGAATATGAGGAGGTAGGAGAGCATTGCACTGCTGGTAGAGTATGGGAAAGGAGGGAGGAGACAACTGGATTAGGCGACGTGGAATTGTGGAGTGTGCAACCGCACCGTCCTACTCTACAATACCGTACTCCTAGACGCTGGTGGATCGCTAGTGGACTATGGTATACGCTAGACCGATATCCACACTTTCCTAGTCCCTCGAGACGCTGATGGTCGCTGGCGGACGCTGGTAGATGCTAGATCGATATCCATACTTACGGGAGGAGCTGTGGGGGCTGCGATCCAACTCACTTCTCGTCACGCGCCCTATCGTCTGACTAGAACTGCGAGCGACTGCGAAATTGAACTGTGCTGGCCTGCTTTAGATGATCTGGAACAATGAAGAATCCTCTCGCTTGAAGTCCCCTTGGTCTGCGCGACGGGGTCCCGAACGAATTTGTTCAAAATGGTCAGGTTGTCAGCAAGCCCCAGTGGTGTAGCACCATTGCGTTCTGAACCATGAACCAGGCCTTTGTGAAGTAACTTCTCTCATGTGCCGGAAGGAGTAAACGATCCTAGCCAAATGGGTTAAGGAAGGTCCCTTCTCTCTGGCTTTCCTCCCCTTGCTCTTGGACGCTTCCCGCATGTTCTCGTTGTTGTCTTTTTTTCATGCTCCCTTTTTCCCTCCCTTCCTCCTGTGCCCCTTGGCGAAATAAGTTTCTTTGAACACCCTTGGGTGTATTTCAAAATGTAAGTTAATGACAGGATGACGTGAAGCACAAAGAGAGAAAGCACTGTGTAATTTTCCACCAATCCAGGCGTCATAATAGTTTGTCTACAAAGTTTCCAATCATAGCAGTGACTACCTTGGATCAATTCAAGAAGTATGTAGATGGGTTGCTCTTGTAGGCAGACACCATAGAAGTGAACAATGTTGGGATGAGAAAGGTCTCTCATAACACGCGCTTCTCGAACCATTTCCTTCACCTGCTGTTTGCACGTATCCGAGCGACCTTTCATCTGGAACATCGAATGAATTCCAGTGAGTCTTCGTTTTATGTGAGTGCGTACCCATACCATTTTGACAGCGACGTCCACTACGGAGCCGTCCTTCTTCGTCAATTTGCCTTGCCTCACCTCACCGAATGCACCTGTACTGAGTAGTTTTCCAACTTGAACTGACTGTGAAGTGAATTCCCACTTTGCAAGTCGAATGGCTCTTTTGAACAGAACTTCTGTCTAAATGAATGATAACTCAGAAATGGTTGTGTGCATCAGAACGTTGATTAATTCTTCTGCAGGTCCCCTGCTGAAATCTTGACATTGTCTTTTGTCACTACACCCTCTCTGCCCCAAGATTTTGTAAGAGCGACTGCTTAATCCCATCATCATTGAAGCTTCCACGCTCGGTTAAGCTGGCCTGTATGGTGACGACAGTTTGTATCAGAGCAGAGTTCCGCGCTGGGAATATGGGCGGAGTCAGCTGGACCACTGCACTCTCCTAATTGGTGCGCTCATATTGCCCATCTCAAAGACACATTGCGCCGTCACCCGAGTAG